GCGCACACACACACTCCCCTCACCGCGAGGCCGCTTCTACCGGCCGATCGAAGTGGCTGATGACTGCACTTGGGGAGCTTCCATCGCCCAAAAGAGACTGCCTAAAGGCGAGTGGACATGGGCAGCCACGCCACGCCCTGAAGCAGCTGGGGACACTGCCTTCGGGGAGCTTTCGTCGGCCGATAGAAGTGGCCTCGCAGCGAGGTATGTGCGTATGGGCCGCTCTAGGTGGGGGAGGAAATTAAGTCACCCCCAAAGAGATGGCCTAGCCGTTTTTTCAGGGGTCAAAAAAAAATAAGACCCGGCCTTATTTTGTGAGAAACACGGTAGTGTCTGCAGTGAATTCTGCGGCTGCGACCAACTTAGGAATATCCTGATGAATTCGCACGTCAGATGCAGGGACACAGTCCTGCAATTGGCGAAGCCACCGTAGAGAGGATCTTGTGAAAAAGGAGGCAGCTGAAGCCGCCTTAACTGTCCAAGCGGCTGCCAGGTGAGTGCGTTGGAAGGATTGCTCGATCCTCTTATCTTCAGCTTGTAGTGCCTCTTCAGGATCTCCCAGATTGGATGAGGCAGAGATCATAGCCGCGACCAGTGCATCAACTGTAGGCACTGCAGAGAGCTGGTTAGCTTGGGCCCCATGGTCAAGAAATGCCTCTCGTTGGCCGACAGCGATGAGAAAGTACCAGGGGCTTCCATCTGCTTTTGTATAATATTGAAGAATAATCTAGGGACAGGCTCCATTTCTGGTCTTACAGCTGGTTCATCGAAAAGTTGATCCGGTGGCACCATGCCATCACCCTCTGTTTCACCAACATCAGCCCCAGGCCTCAACTTTGCAGTTTTCTTGGCTTTGAATAATAAAGCCCTGAGCTTCTGTGCATCAAAAATGCCAGTAAAGGACGGTCTCTCCGGGGCCATATCCTCATCCTCTGAGAAATCAGGTTCTTTCTTCTCTTCTTCAAGGGCTCTGCCAGCAATGCTGGGTAACGAAGGCACCGGTGAACCTCTGTCTCTGAGGGAATAGGTTTCTCTAGCATAAAAAGACCTGTCTGGATCTGATTGATCTGAGGCCTGAGAGATATTTTCTTTGGACGCTCAAAGAGCCTCTACCACTCCCCTTCTGATAGCCTTAGCAATAATGGCTTCCAAATGGGCTGGAGCAGCCTCTTCCTCTTCCTCAGAATTGTAAGGTTCAGCAACAGGTCTGGCCCTTTTAGGGGGAGGAGGAAGCAAGTCCTCCACAATTGAAGGCTCCCTCTTAAGGTCTCCCAAGGGAGTTGGATCCCCAACTGCAGAAGAATTATCAGGGGACCAAATCCCAGGGCGAGGAAGCCCAGTAAAGGCAGAAGGCCCTACACTTCCAGTTGTAAAACTGGGGGTTGTGCAGACTGATCTGAACCAACATCAGGAGGAGGAGATCTCAGACCTTTTTCCAGAAGCTTTTGTTTCCTTCTGGACCTCTGGTTCAGCTCTGGTTTCAGGGGCCTTCTTCTTCTGTCTGCTTCGGGACTTTCCTTTGGAAGTAGAAGGGCTTGGTTCCCTTTCTTGCTCTTTATCAGCCATCTCACCTGGAGAATGAATTCATTCACAAGAAAGAGGCAGGGCAGGGAGGGGACCTGGTAAGCCGGCTTAGCAAGTCTGTGAGGGCAACTGCTGCAGCCACACCCTGCCAGTCACACACCAGGTTTTGGACCTGCAAGCAGGTCAGAACAGCACCCACGCGATTTCCTCAGTGCTGGAGACTCCCTGACGTTGGTCTGCAACCCAGCACTGGCAACGTGGCCGATAGCGCCTTTTAGCTGGGGGTAATCCCTGCCAGCTGGGATTGGGGCGATGCCTCATCAAGCAGCTACTTTGCTTCCTCCAAACATTCAGCAAAGCTTTCTGTGGCTTCTCCCAGATCTTCAAGCCGGTGCTGCAAGCTGCTGCAAGCTGCTGCGCTGAGCGTTTTGCAGCCAAGGCAATCAATACAGCAAGCCAGAAAGCGAAAGAGAAACCTCAAGCGGTTTCTGTTGCTGCCGCGCCAATCAGCTGGCTGCCCTTATCAGGCCGATTGCCCAGGAGCCATCCCACGTGGTCTAGGCTCCCCACGCTGAGTCTGAAGCCCTTCGCGCTGTTTCCAAGTTCCTGGAGCTAAAATTAGCTCACTCACCAGTCTCCAGCAGATTCCAAGCCTCAAAGGTCCGTTTAAAACTTTCTGTCCCTTTTTACAATCAGGCTCCAATTACAGCTACATTGGAGCCTTGTAAAACACATGGAGTCCTGGCTAAGACTGAGTCGAAAACTGGGGAGTGGCCACAGCAAAGGGGCGGAGCTTGAATTTGAGCAGACTCAGTCCTATTGGTTTAAGCTGAGATAACTCATCCTATCTGGACTCACGTAACGATAGACAGGAAAATAGCTTGACCCCTTCCTCCTCTCTGGGGCAGCCCCTCAAATATTGGAAGCCTGTCTCCTGGTCCTTCTCTTCCCTAGACTAGCCAGGCCCAGTTCCTGCAATTGTTCACTGTATGTTTTAGCCTGCAGTCCCCTAATCATCCTGGTTGCTCTTCTCTGCGCTTTTTCTAGAGTCTCAACATTATTTTAATAGCGTGGTGACCAAAACTGGATGCAGTATCCTAGGTGTGGCCTTACTAAGTTCACACGGGAGATATAACAGTTTGCAGATTTGTGCTTTAGCCTGGCAAGATTCTTGTCTGCAGGCAAAAAGCAAGAAAGAAGCTACCCTGACATACCTCTTCATCTAGCTCCCTTGAGACTGACACTGTCTTATTGGAATGGCTCCCTCCCTAAGCATCCCTGTTCAGCGGAGAGTCCAAAGGGGAGGAGACAAGAGAGCAGAACCGGAACTTCTGGGGCCTTCTTTCCCCTTTAGGAGGGCAGGTCCTTCCGGGGGGAGACGGGACAAGACCCTTCAACAGAAGAGGACGATCTACTGGAGACCCAGAGGATGAGACTCACCAATTCCCTTATGAGGCTCGGGGGGGCAGGAAACGAACTTGAGGACTTCGGCTCGTTTCTCTCGCAGGCCCCAGCGATACAGGATCTCTCCGTAGCACTTTTTAAAGTCGTCAAACTGTTGGGTGTTGGCAGGATCCAGAAGCCTGGAGGACGAGATCCACAAACGGGCCTTTAGGTCCCTGATGGGGTTTCTAAGGTTTCTACTCTTGCCTGGTTATAGTTTTCTCTTTGCCCGGTTTCTGTCCTTCTGCACGAGAGAAGGAGCTTTAGCAGTGTCCTTTCCTACGGACTTGCTTATACAGTTAGTCCTCGACTTACAACAAAAGCAGTAGCCCTTAGACTTATATACAACTTCGTAGTACTTTACAGCTCTCTCTAAGCGGTTTGCAGAGTCAGCCTCTTGCCCCCAACAATCTGGGTCCTCATTTTACCCGCCTCGGAGGGACAGAAGGCTGAGTCAACCTTGAGCCTGGTGAGATTTGAACTGCCAAATTGCAGTCAGCTAGCAGTCAACGGAAGCAGCCTGCAATACTGCATTCTAACCACTGCACCACCACGGCTCATAACAGTTCATTTATTGACCGTTCTAAGTTACAACGGCACTGGAAAAAGTGACTTATGACCGTCTTTCACAGTTACCACCTTTGCGGCATCCCTATCATGCTTCTGGTGGAGACTGACTCTGAGGGAGAGGAGGAACAGCTGACAGGGAGTGGAAGTGTGGCTCCAGAGGTTGTGGAGGAGGCTGGGGAAGGGTAGAGGCTGGCTGGGCAGTCAGAGGAGGACCCAGGCCCATCCCCTCTCCATCCTAGGGCACGCAGGGAGGAGAGGATAAGGGAGAGATGTGGTCTACTCGAGAGGAGAGGGCCTTGATCCTCTTCATGGGCTGCAGCTGTGACAACTGGATGAGAGGACAGGCATGTTTACGGGCAAGCGCTGAAAATAAAGAATGGAAATATCTCTAGTTTGTGGTTCCTCTCTGAGTTTGGTGTCCTTCCCAGTGTGTGTTCTGTTATCTGTGGACGTCCTCCAGCCCTTATCTTGCCTGGCTTGTGTTGCTTTTTCCCTTCTTCTTGTAACTGTTTGTGGGGGAGTTTTTTGGCTTCCATCAAGAATATTTGGCGCTTGGAAGGAAAGTGAAGGAATAAAAGGGGCTTCACCTGTTTTCTGTGACTGTGTTTGTTTTGTATCCCACCCTGGGTCATCACAACCCCCCTGCTCATGTGATGAAAACCCAGAAGCTTGGCAATCGGGTCATACTTATGACCGCTGCTGTGTGCCAAGCTTAGGTGATGCCCTTTTGTGATCTTCTGACAAGTCAATGGGGAAGCCTGATTCGCTTAGCAACCAGGTTTCTAACTTATCAACTGCAGTGATTCACTAAACAACGGTGGCAAGAAAGGTCGTAGAATGGGGCAAAATTCAAACTTAACAAAGAGTCCTCAAACCATATTTGAAACTGCTGCTCTTGGCAACATCCCAAAGAGGCTGGGGGGGGGAGGGGAGGGAAGGGCTCTCCATCATGGCCCCTGGTCTCCACCCAGCCAGGAAGTGGTTGGTGACTGGCCTCGCCCACCTTTTGTTCCTGTCGTGCTGGTCTCTCTCTCGGTCCCGCGGATCAGCATACGCCAAGTTCCCAAGGCGAAAGTCGTCAGGCGAAGATTCGGCCCAGCCTATGGTGTGTTCCATGTCTTTGCTGGCTACAAAAGTCAAAAGCTGATTAGCTGATCCCAGTGAGGGTGGGACCTGCAAGAGAATCCCCCTCCCAGCCCAGCAGCAAACACGCGCCTGGCCCAAAAGTCATGGCCCTGCCCTTTTAGCATTTAGCGACGACGGAAGTCCAAATAAAGGACTGGCTCTGCCTTAAGGCAGGACAGGTTTTCTGTGAAAACGTAGAATCCTAGGGCTGGAAGGGACCTCGGGGGTCTTCTAGTCCAGCCCCCTGTTCAAGCAGGAGACCCTATACCATTTCAGACAAGTGGCTGTCCAGTCTCTTCTTTAAAAACCCCAATGTTGGATCACGCACACCTTCTGAAGGCAAGCCGTTCCACTGGTTCATTGTCCTCCCTGTTTGGCAGTTTCTCCTTAAATCCAGGTTGCTTTTCTCCTTGATTAATTTCCATCCATTCTTTCTTTTCCTGCCCTTCGGGTGCTTTGGAGAATATTCTGATCCCCTCTTCTTTGTGGCAGCCCCTTAAATACTGGAACACTACTATCATATCACTCCTATTCTTCTCTAGACTAGCCACACCCAGTCCCAGCAACCGTTCTTCGTATGTTTCAATCTTCATGCCTCTTAGTTGCTGCTCTTCTCTGCGCTTCTTCCAAAGTCTCAACATTTTTTTTGTAAAGTGGTGACCAAAACTGGATGGAGTTGTTTGCAAGAAAATGTTTCTAAGCAATTGTGGATTGCATTTGAGGCAATCCACAGGTGATCCCTACCTTCCGTAACTCAGCAGGGGGCTTTTTAAAAAAGTATTTCTTGAGAGCAGCAAACATTTCTTCCAAAGAACCTTTCTTGCTTCCAGGATGGTACCTACGAAGTGGCACAAGCGCCTTACCCCAAATCATCTTTGCACTTTGGCAACCATGGGCAGATGCCCCCAATCAATTAATTGCTCATGGGACTAATAGTCCGTAGAGACTCTCAGCCCTCCAGGTCATGGTTGCCCCAAAGGTGCTTTCTCAGGAGGCAACTGGACTTTCTGGTTTTTTTCTTTTGAAGACGTTTCGCTTCTCCTCCAAGAAGCTTCTTCAGCTCTGACTGGGTGGTGGGGAAGGGAAGGATTTATACTCCTTGCAGACAGCTGGTCATTTGCATCCTTTTAGTGAGTCCTTGAAATCACTTGGAGGTTTGTCTGTGTCCTCAGGGTCACCTGAGTGGTGCAAATGGTTCCTGTAGTCTCATTTCCCCCCCCCCCCCGCCCCCGAAATCCATTCCCTATTCCCATACCATTCAAAGAGTGTTCATCCCAAATTGTATAGCTAAAAGTCTGTAGAGATTCTCAGCCATCCAGATCATGGTTGCCCCAAAGGTGCTTTTTCAGGAGGCAACTGGACTTTCTGGTTTTTCTTGGAAGAAGTTTTGCTTCTCATCCAAGAAGCTTCTTCAGCTCTGACTGGATGGTGAAGAATGGAAGGATTTCTATTCCTTGCAGACAGCTAGTCATTTGCATCCTTTTAGAGAATCCTTGAGATCTCTTGGAGGTTTGTCTGTGTCCTCAGGGTCACCTGAGTGGTGCAAATGGTTCCTGTAGTCTGGAAATCCATCCCTTATTCCCACACGATTCCAAGGGTGTTCATCCCAAATTGTATAGCTAAAAGTCTGTAGAGACTCTCAGTCTTCCAGGTCATGGCTGCCCCAAAAGGTGCTTTTCTTCATTTTACTTTTTTCCAGTTGCTTCCTGAAAAAGCACCTTTGGGATAATGGGACTAATGAGTCCTTTAGCTAAATGAATCTGGAATGTCTTTAGCAAAATGCCACCTCTCCTTTTCAAAAATGCCAAACCTAGTAAAAGACAACAGAGATATTCCAAGAAGCTTATACCCCTTCCCCCAATTGTGAAAGCCTACACAGAGGGTTGTGAATCTTTCTGATGCCAAAAATCAGAAAGGTGAAGCCTCCAGGTACTGCCAAGGTAACAGAGGTGTGCATACCTGTGTTCCAACTGCTGGTGCTCAGTCCAGGGTCTGACATGCTGGAACAAGAGCCAGAGGAGGTAAAGCTGGGCTGTCAAGGGGAAAACAAGAGGGAATCACATCAGGATCTCTCCCCAAAGGGTGCAGGGGGAGGGAAAAGAGCAGGAACGCAAATCAGCTCATACGTATCGACTGTGGCTGGAGGGGTGCTGAGGAGCCAGGCCTGCGGGGTTTGGGATTCCCTGCGGTCTGGACTGGGTCTCAAAGACGCTGCACAGCATAGCCAAGGTCTGCACATCGTGGAGCTGGCAATAGTGTGCCAACCTACAGAGGGAAAGAAGAAGAAGAAGAAAATAGCCCTCAGCTATTTACAGATTAAAATTTGGAACAGAGAGGCTGGATTTTGTAACATGCTGATGCCAAAAGCAAACACAACTGCTCAATGTAACAGCGGAGAATACTGCACAGCAGCTCACACAGCAGCTTTCTGCCTGTAATTTACTATATTTCAGCTCATATTCAGGGCAGGCAGGAAGATGGATCTAACTTGTTCGCTCCCCAGAAGAGGAAGGCTTGATATCTAAATCTATCTATATCTATCTATCTATCTATCTATCTATCTATCTATCTATCTATCTATCTATTGTCTGTCCATCCATCCATCCATCCATCCATCCACCCATCTCTCTCTCTCTCTCTCTCTCTCTCTCTCATTTATTTGCTGCCCATCTTGCTGTGGGGCTACTCTGTAAAACCGGGGGGGTGGGGGGGAGTAAACGTAACACTAGTAATTGCTTCTACTACCACATTTCTCAGTGAATCTAAGCCTGGCCTCTTAGTTTAAGAGGACAATATTGTGGGGAAGAAAGGAAACAGGTGTTCTCCTGTTATTACTAGTTAGCATTATTACTATAATAATCAGAATTCTTGTCCATTATTATCACTCACTGCACTTGGAAATTTTTTACCTCTTTTTAAAAGCTTGGAACACAAAGAGTTGCAAGAAGCTAAATTTCTATGCCTAACAGCAGTTTTGTTCTACAATTTTCTCCACAAAACGGACCAAAGCTAAGTATTTTCTAAGTACGGCAAGGTATGCCTCAGGTGCAAAGCGTCAGGTTAAAGAGCCTGGGAGGACACAGGTCAAAACATGAAGAAAAATGCCCAGAAAATCCAGTTTTCCTGCTTGTCCAGAGGCCAGGCTCTAAAGGGGAGCTGTGATGAAATTGTGTGGTATGGAGAGGGGAGGCTGGGATGCATGTTTGTAGGAGTTCTGTGAGAGACTAAAACAAGGTTCACTTCAATGCAGCCAATCTTCTATCATGAGGTCTGCCTCTTAATCTATGACATACGTATACAGGTAGTCCTTGATTTATGACAACAATTGAGCCCAACATTTCTGTTGTTAAATGAGACATTTGTTAAGTGAGTTTTGCCCCATTTTATGATCTTTCTTACCACAACAGTTAAGTTGAATGGCTGCAGTTGCTAATTTATAACAAGTTTGTTAAGTGATCAAATGAGTGATCACTTGGTCTTCCGGTTTGAAGGGCTTCGGCGACAGACAGAAATCCGCGATCGTGCGTGGTTTCTGCCTGGGCTCGCTGCTGGAGCGCCCCGAGCCGGCTGGTTTCGGGGCTAAGCCACCCCGTAGAGGTGGTGAAGAGGGGGGAGACCACCAGCAGGGTCGAGGAGAGCCGCATCTCTCCTCCTCAGCTGGCCATTACTCCTTTTCCCGAAGGCAGTTGCAGCGGTGGTCAGAAATGGCCACCATAAAGAAGAACTCGACCGGAAAAGAATATGCAGGAGGAAGATAAGAAGTGAAAGTTTTGGCTGACCGGGTTAAATTGTAAAAGCAACAACTAAGGTACCCTGGAATTTAAACTTACAAAAAATAACATCGCTCCCAAAGAAGAGTCGGAAGCAGCGAAGGAAAGTGAAAAGGGAAAGGTTTGGTTTTTTTTTTCCTTCTCTCTCCTTCCCTATACTGACAACTAAGAGACTTAAATAAGAAATCGGAAAAATCCGCTTTGACATCAATAGGCAATTAAGCTGAAAATAAAACAAAATGCCAAAGGGATAATAAAGATTTCTGGACATTAAAAACTTTCTTTTTCATAAGCAGGAAGGGAGAGAAAAAGAATAAGGGCAGGATCTGGAAGAGGGAGGAGACTGTCTGGAATTAAAAAGAATCTAAAGTAAAACTTCAACAAGACTTCTAAAAGATACATTTTAACTGAAACTTTGCAACTAAATAGTAACCCCAGGAAGAGAAAGTGAAAAAAAGAGCAAAAAAAGAAACAGCTTGCGTGTATTTGGATTATTTGGTGATCTTTGGATTCTTGGTTATTATATTTGAATGACTAAAATCAATCGGGTGGTTGTTTAAAAATTTATACAATGGCACCACTTCTGGATGAATTGAAAACGGAACTTAAAAAGTACAAAGAAGATGCACAAGAAGGGAAGGGTTCTTTTGGACTAGATGACCTACAAGGTCCCTTCCAACTCTGACTATCTGTGATCTGTTAGTGAATCTGGCTTCCCCATTGTCTTTGCTCGTCAGAAGGTCGCAAAAAGGGGATCGTGTGACCCTGGGATGCTGTAACCGTCAGAAATACGAATCAGTTGCCAAGCATCTGAAGTCAGATCACGTGACCCTGGGGACGCTTCAAGTGTGAGAAACAGTCACGGGTCACTTTTTTCAGTGCCACTGTAACTTCGAATGGTCACTAAATGAACAGTTGCCAAGTCAAGAACCACCTGTATTAATTAACATGTATCACTGCCTGAAAAAGTTTGGAAACCCCTCCGCTAAGACTTCTCAGAAAACAACTGAATGAAAAACTGCTGGTGACCTTCTCCCGCTGCACCATAGAGAGTATCTTAACTTACTGCCCCTCTGTAGGGTTTGCACAGTGGCAGAGAGGACAGCCCTCCAGAGCAGGGGTAGGGAAACTTGGCTCTTCTATCACTCCCACAATTCCTGAGTGAGCCATAAAAGGTTCCCCATCCCTGGCCTACTGGTTTTTCATTTGTGAGGGAAATCAATTTTTGACTTGAACGGGACTGTTTAATATACAAATGTAGGACATATAAATAAGAATATGTCCTACATTTGTATATTAAACAGTCTCATTCAAGTCAAAAATTGATTTCCCTCACAACTGAAAAACCAGTAGGCCAGAGATGGGGAACCTTTTATGGAACCTTTTATACTTCAACTTCTGGGAGTTGAAGTCCATAAGTGATAAAAGAGCCAAGTTTCCCTACCCCTGCTCCAGAGGGTTAACATCATTGCCCAGAGGATCATGAGTTGCCCTCTTCCCTTCCTTGGAAGAGCTTTATAGCTCCCGCTGCCTTAAGAAAGTTCAAAATGATTTCCGGTCTGCAGCGCTTCGGGGCAGGCAGGAATCCGCGACTGTGCGCGGTTTCTGCCTGCGCTCGCTGCCGGAGTGCCCTGAGCCATCTGGCTTCAGGGCTAGCCACCTCCGTAGAAGGTGGCGAAGACAGGGGGGATCTGGCAGGGTCGAGAGATATCACACCTCTCTTCTCTAGCCAGCTAAACCCCCTTTTCTGAAGGCAGCTGAGCGGCGGTCAGAAATGGCCGCCACATAGAAGCGCTCAGCTGGGAAAAGAAAGTGCAGGAGGAGTTGAGAAGAAGTGAAAGTCTTTTTGCTGACTGGGACAAAGTAACAGTGAAAGTACCCTGGAAATTAAAAACTTGTGGAAGATACATCATTTCCAAGGATTTACAAGCGGCGAATGGAAATTAAAAGGGGAAAAAAAGTGTTTTTTTCACTCTCTTTCCTAACGTGACAGCGAATAGAAAAGCAAGAGAAAGCAAGAGAAATCCGAAAAACCCGCATTGGCACTAACAGGTAATTAAATGCTAAAGGGATAAGGATTTCTGAATATCTAAAAAAAATAAAAATCTTTTTTGCTGTAAGTGGGAAGGGAGAGGAAGAGAATTGGAGCAGTATTTGGAAGTAAGGAGGAGACTGCCTAGAATCTTAAAGAATTATTAAATATTAACAAGACTTCTAAAAGATACATTTTAATTGGAACTTTGTAACTAAACAGTAACCCCAGAAAGAGAAAGTGAAGAAAGAAGAAAGTGCCAAAAGAAACAGCCTATTTGGATTGTTTGGTGACTTTGGGACTTTTGGGAATTATTTTTGACTAAAAACACTTGGGTGGTTGTTTTGGAAAAACTTTTTCTCTCTACAATGGCATCACTCGTGGATGAATTGAAAATTGAATACCAAAAATATAAAGAAGAAGAACAAGAAGGGAAAGACTCTCTTGGCACTCTTTTTCAATTTCTAGAAATGGTGATTTGCACTTATGAGAAACTGACTGCGCAACAAGATGATTGGGATAAAGAAGAAGCCATCTTTGATGAACAAGTAACATTATTTGAGGAAGAAAGGGAGAAAGAGGAAAAGAAAAAGGGGACTTTAAGACTTGAAAAAACAACCAAAAAAGAGAAAAATAAGGTGAAAAGTGGATATAATGTTAGAAAGCAACAGAAAGGGGGAAAGCAGAAGAAGAAAAGGGAGGTGGAGAGACAAGGGGGTAAAAAGGGCAGGGAGAAGAACAAGCAAGGGAGGAAGGAAGGGATGAGAAGCCTTAATGGTGGGGAGCAAGATGTAAAGAAACAAGATTCATTTAGAGATAATGGGTAAACTTAATTGAAAAAAGGATTCTGCAAAGGTACACAAGATTGTATTTTTATATTTGTACTTAGAAATAGTGTTAGAAAATTGGAAACAACATGTGATCAAAAATGGGATAAAATATTTAGTGTAACTTAGTGAAATTTTTTGTGAATAAAAAGAAGGCAATGAAATAAATGAGAGAATTGAAGTAGGAGGAAATGGGAACATTTTAATGATACAATGATTTATGAAATAACTATGGAAAGTATAAGTGTCCCCATAAAAGTATGATACTCAATGGAAAAGTAATGTGTAAGATATAAATGAATATTAATATTAATGATTAGATCTGTATTGGCATTGATAGTTGTTTTAATTATATTATATACTTATAAATTTTTTCTTTTTATAAAATATAATGTGTAATTCTAGAATGTACTAAACAGAATCCCAATGGAAGTCATGTATTATATTAAGTATTATAAATTTAGGGGAAAGAGTCAAAGGCATCACACTCCAATCAGTGTACAGGAGTTATCTAAAGAGAAAAGAGAAATAGACAGCTGGAAACAGAACAGACAAAGAATAATAAGTATTATGATCTGAACTGAGATGAGACAAATAAAATAAAACTAAGAAAGGTGAAAGAGGTGAGAAGCTATATAGAAAATGGAAAATGGTAATAAGATATGGAATGGTATATAAAATGAATATGAATTTGAATTTGTGTCTGTACGAAGAGATGTAACCCGGGATCAAGCAGCTTTCAGAAAAGATGTTTTATGTTTTTATGTTCTATGTTTTGTTTGTTTGTGTATTGTCTTTGAAAATCAATAAAATTTGTTTTTTTTTTTAAAAAAGAAGAAAGTTCAAAACAGCCTCAAAGATCCATCTCAACCTGGGCACCCTTTTTTTGAACTATTACCATCTGGCAGACGGTACAGGATAATAAAAACAAGGACAAATAGGCTGAAAAACAGATTTTATCCCAGGGCAGTAGCTCTGTTGAATTCTACTGTTTAGTGCAATATGAATGCAATATCAGGGGTTTTCCATTCAATGTGTGGAGTGTGAAGGATGTGTGTTTGTGTTTATTTTCATGGTCATGATGTGCGCTGAAGATGGTGTTTGATTTCATTGTATCAAGTGCAATGACAATAAAGTAAACTAAGTAACTAACCGTAAAGAATCCCAATAGGGTTTCACATTAATAAAAGGCCACAGCTTGGCCTTTCCAAATAGGTTAATACGGCTCCAGTTGCACCACCTCCGAATGCCAGAGCAAAAGGGATTCCCCCCCCCTTTTTTGCCTCCTTCAATGCGAGTGCCCACCCAAACTTCCTAGGCAGCGGCCCAAGAAACTAACAGCCTCCACAACAAGCAAGCAGGGCAGCCTCTGCCCAGCCCCCTCCAATGTTTCCCTTCTCAATGCCTCCTTACAGAGACTCCAGGAGCTGGCGGCCGAAAGGGTGCTGGGCCCAGGGGGTCTCCAAGTCTGGGTCAACGTTGGGATCCAGGCAGAGATCGGTCGCCACCGTGGCCAGGGACCAAACCTGGAAGAGAAGGCTGGGTCAGAGACATGCTGTTGTAGGCGAGAACCTCAGGCGGCTTACAGCAGATACGATTCGCCAGCCAATAGCAGCCGCCCTTAGACTTACATGCCACTTCACAATGCTTTACAGTGTCCTCTCCAAGCAGTTGACAAATGTCAGCCTCTTGCCCCCAACAATCTGGGTCCACATTTTACCCACTTCGAAAGGATGGAAGGCTGAGTCAACCTCGAGCTGGTAAGGATCAAACTGCTGGTAGTGGGCAGAGTTTAGCCTGCAATACTGCATTCTAACTACTGGGAGGGAGGGAGGGAAGGAAGGAAGATAGCAATAGCCCTTAGACTTATATACCGCTTTGCAGTGCTTTTACAGCCCTCTCTAAGTGGTTTACAGGGTCAGCCTCTTGCCCCCAACAATCTGGCTCCTCATTTTACCTACTTCAGAAGGATGGAAGGCTGAGTCAACCTGGAGCCAGTGAGAATCGAACTCAGGGCAGTGGGCAGAGTTAGCCTGCAATGCTGCATTCTAACCACTGTGCATCATGGATGGATGGACGGACGGATGGAAGGAAGGAAAGCGGGAAGGGCAATAGCAATAGACTTATATATTGCTTCACAGTGCTTTTACAGCCCTCTCTAAGCAGTTTACAGAGTCAGCCTCTTGCCCCCAACAATCTGGCTCCTCATTTTACCCATCTCGGAAGGACGGAAGGCTGAGTCAACCTTGAGCTGGTAAGGATCAAAGGTAGTGGTCAGAGTTTAGCCTGCAATATTGCATTCTAACCACTGGGAGGGAGGGAGGGAAGGAAGGAAGATAGCAATAGCCCTTAGACTTATATACCGCTTTGCAGTGCTTTTACAGCCCTCTCTAAGCGGTTTACAGGGTCAGCCTCTTGCCCCCAACAATCTGGGTCCTCAATTCACCCACCTCAGAAGGATGGAAAGCTGAGTCAACCTTGAGCCTAGTAGGATTTGAACTGCCAAACTGCAGTCAGCCGGCAGTCAGCAGAAGTAGTTTGCAGTACTGCACTCTAACCACTGCGCCACCAAGGCTCTTCTGATGATGGGTGAGCCTTTGTTGTTTGGGGGTTGGGTGATACAAGGCAGTCCTTGAATTACAACCATTCATTTAGCAATTGTTCCAAGTTAAAATCAGTCCTCACGCTTGCAACCGTTGCAATGTTGCCAGTCCCCGGGGGGGGGGGGGGGGGGGGGGAGATTGGCAATCTGCAGGTGTTTACAATTGTAACATCCTGAGGTCCCAGGATCACCACTTGTGACCATCCTGGCAGTCAATGGGGGAAGCTGGATTCACTTAATGACTGCATGGTTCACTGAATGATTGCAGTGTTTCACTTAAGAACCACGGTCGGCAGGGGGGGGGGAGGAAGTAAATGTTCCATCCATCTCTATCCTCAAAATCCCTGAATCAGACAAGACCCTTGCAAAAGGAAGGTGAGGCAGGGCACCCCGAGAAGAGCAAGAAACCCAGCAGGAGAGGGCTGTCTGTGGGAGACAGGAGGGAAAGGTGAGGGGGAAGGGGCTTTTCTTTCAAGCCAGGCTCTCCTCTTTCGGTGACACTCCCCCCTCTCAGCTCAAGAGGGTCTCCAGACAGTCCTGTAGAGCAGTGGCCCCCCAACCTCTCTGGCTTTGCAGACTGGCAGAGAGGTGGGGAGAGGAAACGGTTCCGTATGAGGGACATATCTGTGTGCTCGGAGCTCCATTTTTGGTGAGCAATGGGAACTCGTGTGCATATGTGAAGCTCCATTTGAGGAGCTTCACGTGCGTGTGCAACTTCCCGCCACTCGTGAAAATGGAGCTGCGAGTGCTCACGCCTGCTTCTTGCATGGCCCGGTTCCAGGGGTGGGATACGATAGGGTTAACTACCGGTTTGGGATTTACGAGCTTCCCTGCAGGCTGCGAGCCGCGTGCCTGTCAATCGTCACCAGCATGCCGCGTGCCGAGAAGCAGCCTTTGAAACAGCCCTCTTTTCCTGCTTTTTTAACTGCAGCTGTGCCTCGTTTGGCAGCTGAAGTTGAAAAATCAGGAAATAAAAGTCAGGTAAGAGCCCGGTGGGCAAAAACAGAGCTACCGGTTCTACAGAGGTGGACAGAACTGGTAGAAACCCACCCCTGCCCGGTTCCGAATGGGCTTCAGCCCGGCAGTTGGGGTCCCCAGCTGTAGAGTGAGGGAGAAGGAGCAGCACCTGCAAGAGGTCTCGGCGTCCCACTGTCAAAGCTGAGGCGGCATTCTTCTGGCAGGTCTCCTGAATATCCACCACGTTTAGTCTGAAAGAGGAGAGGGGTGGCTGAGGGATGCACAGCCTGTTCTCCTCCGCAGAACCCCCAGCTGCCAGGGGGAGAACTTTCATTTCCCAGCACCTAGTCTATTGGAAACCAAAACCAAAACCAACCTAGGGGAGTGCTTGCTTCAGGGGTTCCCAACGATATGCAAGACGATATTCCAGGGGGTGCGAAAACTTGGGTTTAGAAGTTTCAAAATTATAGTGCGTAATGTATCATTATATGCATATAATTATTATTATTTTTAAAGGGGTGCGGGAATATATCAGGAGCATTCTAGGGACGTGGGGTATAGAAAAAGTTGGGAACCCTTGCCTTACATTAAGCAAGGTGCTGAAAATTGGGCAAACAACCAGATTCACATGTGTAGAAGTTAACTATTTATTTATTTATTGAATTTATATTGCCGCCTATTCCCCCCATGGTGACTCGAGGCAGCTTTAGTGAATGTAAAACCATATTTAAAATAAAAAAAAAAAACAATAAAAACTAACAAAAAGAATCAAATAAATTAATAAAAGTACAATGGAACAAAATCTGGAAAAAAACAAATAAAAAATTACCCCCAGCCCCGACAACAGCAGATAACTACTACCGTGTTTCTCATATAATAAGGCCGGGTCTTCTTTTTTTTTGAGCCCCGAAAAAATGGCTAGGCCGTCTTTTCGGGGGTGACTTAATTCCCCCCCCCTTGCATCTTTGGGTGGGCGGGCGGCGATGGCTTGGATGTTGACCTCGGTGTGGGTGAGGCACTTAGTATCGGGGTCAACGCAGGCAGCACCATATCCGGGTGTGCAACAAAAGTACTTCTTAACGGCAAGCCCCCCCCACCATTCCCCCCCCCCCATTTCACATGTTTTAATATAGGCCTTAATTTGGGGGGAGGGGCTTAATTTCATTTCATGCCTATAAAACATGCTGGGACTTCCTATTGGGGGAGGCCGTATTGTTGGAGAAACAGGGTAATAAGTACTAATAACTACTTTGTTATAGTCCGATTATTATAGGGAATGTCCCCAGTTTGGCAGGCTTCTCTCAGGAACACTTTTGGATAAGGTTCCAAGGAACAGGGAGGGAAGGGTCAGTTCTGGATCTCCTGCAACTGGGCAAGGCCTCAAGACTAAATTCTCAGCTTGAGACCCCTCTTCCTTCCCTGGCTGGTATGGTGCATTCCACATGGCATAACCGAACGTATTCGGTGGATTTACATAGCAGGATGGCCCATTAATATTTTAGGGTTTTGGCTTAACAAGGCTGCTTGAAACCAGTCAATGCGGTTTATACATAGCCTGGGAGGATTTGTTCCCAGCCAGTCCAGCCAATTCTGGTTTATGCAAAGTACGTTATGGCTTACACCATGTGCACACCCTTTTCAGTAACATCAGGAACTACCAGGCAAGCCGTTACTTGAACATTTATAATAAGATGAAAAAGGGAGAGGATTTCTAGAAGGATGGGCAACATATGCCAATCCAAGAAGGGAGCATTCTGGGGAACTCGGTTGCGTTCTGTTCTTCACGGGGCCTTCGCTTTCTGGGGGCTATGAGGTGCTTTAAGAAGTCAATCTTTTGAGCAAAAGCCAAATGCTTTGTCTTCAGGTAGATAAATTCTTGGCACCCCTAAATTTCAGAGTAAAATCCTCTTGTGATTCCCCTCTTTTCCCCACTAGGATGAGGTGGCTGGGCCTGCCTCTCTCCAAAGGTACCAACAGTAATAGCCATACCACTTATATACGGCTTCGTAGTGCTTCCCAGCCCTCTCTAAGCAGTTGACAGAGTCAACCTCTGGCCCCTCATTTTACCCACCTCGGAAGGATGGAAGGCTGAGTCCACCTTGAGCCAGTCAGGATTGAACTCCTGGCAGGGAGCAGAGTCAGACTGCAATACTGCATTCAAACCACCGTGCAGGGGTGGGATTCAAATTTTTTAACAACTGGTTCTGTGGGTGTGGCTTAGGTGGTGGGCGTGGCTTGGTGGTCATGTGACTGGCTGGGTGTGGCCAACTCAACATCACTCACATCGAGGCACGCATCTCCTCGCCTGGCCTCTCATGACTGTGGGGATGCGGCAACAGTCATAAGTATGAAAAACGGTCATGTCACTTTTTTCAGTGTCACTTTGAATGGTCACTCCACACAAGCAAAGTACCAGCAAAGGAGGGGGAAAAAACTCCAGAGACAGGAAGTCTAGTCCTGCCAAGAATGTAATAAGGGTTAATGGAGAGGCAGTTTCTGTAAGCAACACCAGAATGTTTCCTTCCTGCCTTTCTTACAGGATTAGCCCTGTAATTTCTTCTAACAACCAGTTCTTCGAACTGCTTAGAATGTTAACAACCGGTTCTAGCGAATAAGTGCGAACCTGTAGAATCTCACCCCTGCCACCATGGTACGAGCAGGAGTGGCCTTCAAAATTTTTAGCAACGGGTTCTCTGCCCAGTTGCTGGGCGGGAGTGGCCATGGTGGGCATGGTCTAGTTGGCCTCCTGCACCATGTCAGGGAGGGGGCCGTTTTTGCCATCCCCGGGCTCTGGAGGCTTTCCTTGAGCCTCCGGAAGGGTGAAAACAGCCTCCCTGGGCTCCAAAGGCTCTCTTGAAGCCAGAAACGGACCCATTTCCGGCCTTCCTGAACTTCCGGGAAGCCTGTTTTTCGCCCTCCCTGAGCATCTGCGCGCACCCTGCACTTACCTGCATCCAAATCGGGCCACGTGGGGATTCCTGGGAGGGGTGGGGAGGGGTGGGCGGGGCCAGCCAGGAATGGGATTTGGGGGTTCTCTGAATTGCACAGAATCTTAGCTAGGGGCTCTCCTGAACCCCCACGAACCTCCAGCAGCCCCACCCCTGGGTACGAGGCAAACCGTACAGCTACTCACATATACATCTCCCCTAATGATTTATGGACGGGGAGCAGGCAGGAGATGTCTTGAATGATGACTTTGCCAGCTGCTTTGATGGGCCGGCTGCTGGCCTCGGTCCCCTCGCGTTTGCTCTTCCATCTCCTGGACTTCTGCAGGGGGAGAGATGTCCGTCAGGGGTGGGGACGGTGGAGAGCAGCCCAAAACCTTCAAGGACGAGAGAGCTTTGGGAACCAAAGGATCTCTCCAGACTCTGCCCTACTTAGCCACAAAAGAGCAGCTACTACACTGAGGCTTCGGGAAAGGCGGTCACAACAAAGAGCAACAACAGAGGGAAGGGCTGTGTTATTTTTTTGGGGGGG